CTGTTAGACCATATTTCTCCAATCAGTGCATGACCCTAAGGGGGGTCATGGGGGAGGGTCACTTCCACTTGGTCAAATTGTCACTAGTCTGCCACCCCAGCAGCTCCCACTCGATTCAGAGCCAACCTGAAAAGGTTGAGAAGACACTGAGCCATAGTGCTCCCAGGGAGGGGGCTAGAACACCATCGCTGGCATTTTTTTTTAAGGCTGGTCTGGACTTGTGACTTGATAGCTGGGGGGCAGAGGGGATCAATTCTGCCCTGGGAGACTGGATCTCTGCTCAAGTTTCTTTGCGCTGTGCCTACGTATGTTATAGCGCATCTGGAACGTAGCCTTTCCACCATGGGTCGCCGCCTTCGTCCCAAGCCCTGAGACCGCGGGATTCAGAGCTGACCTGCGGTTGTGTCTTTTAGGAGGGCAACCGTTGTCAGCTTTAGCCAAACTTGAATTTGTGGTTAAAGCACGTTGCTGGGAGTTGGCATGGTGGGCTCTGTTCCCAAGTCTGCCACAGACTGGCTGGGATCTCTTTCCTTCAATAAGCCCATCCATATCTCTCTGCCTCGGTTTCCCCATCTGTGAAATGGAGATAATGATACTGCCTTTGCTTAGTCTAGTTAGAGCAGGACAGAGGTTCTTTCTCACCGTGCCTGGGCAGCGGCTGACACACTGGGGCCCTGCTCTCAGTTGGGGTGTCTATGCACTATTACAGCTGTAAGAGTAATAAAAATCCAGTTCCCCCAGGCTATTCGACAGACCTGCAGCAGGATGGGGCCGACAGAGAGAGCTTGACCCATCTGGAAGGGGGCCTGGTTTTCAGAAAGAAGCTGAGCGTTCAGCTTCTGATAACCCAACTTCTTTAAGGTGTGTGTCGAAATCACAAGACACTGGAAAATCTTGGCCTCGGTTTTTAACAATCTTCCATGGCTGCCTTAGGGCCTGCTTCTCGTTCCCACTAAGGCCCCTTTACAAGGCTCTGGCAGGGGCCGCTGAAGTGGGCACAGATGTCGATTACACTTCCTTTAAGGCTGCTTTATGCTGCCAGTAGTGTAAAGGGGCCTTGGTGCAAAGGAGAACCAGGCCCTCCATTTCCTTCCAGAACAATGCAGCTTCTCAAAGAGAAACGAAACGTGCCCTGTTTCTAAATGGCTGTGCCAAGAGCCGCACAAAAAGGGGGCAATCGGGGACAGCTCCTGCATCCTCCGAGTTTTAAAATGTCTGTGTGTTGGTTTGGACCAATCGCACTGAGACAAGGCCAGGTATTATTAACCGGGTCAAAGGCTGGCGCTCCAGATACACCAACTGCCCCATTAATACGCAGCTTCTGGGGAAACATCCTCCACTCAGCACCAAGGCTTTAGTTCCCTACGGATAGCGAGCCCCTGTTCGACTGACCCAGATCCTGCTGCAAAGCAACAATAGGGGGTTTTGTTTGCTGTGCCCTGGATGGCTGCCTTCCCGCCCGTCTCCCTGGAGTAACTTGGCTGGTGATATTTGGGTCAGGGGTCCCTTCCGATGCCATGGGCTTATTACATCGCTCCAGCGAGAATTCTGTTCCGAATAGGTTCTTCTCCGGTACTCACGACCATAGTATCGGAGCGCCTCGTGTCTGTGCTCGTGGGAAGGTGGGAGAGGGGAAGCCATATTTTTATGGGACATCTTGAGTCTGGCCCATTGAGATCAGTGGATTTAGGATTTCACTGCTCTCTCTCGGAAAAGCCTTACAGTCCTAGCTAGCTCACCTGCAGTGTTTCTTGATCTGATCGTCGTGTTTACCAGGGCACTGGGCCTCCTGGGTTTCTGTCCTTGGTTCTGCCACTCTCTCGTGGTACGCTCTCTTCTGAAACCTGCATGGCTATTTATTATTTGTATAGCGGTTATACCTCGAAGCCCAAATGGAGGGGGAGGGCTCCCTGTGCTAGGAGTTGTATGCCCATCACAAAACCAGTCCCTGCCCCCAAAGAGCTTGCAGGGCAAGAGACGACCATGTGTGTGTGGGGGTACGCATGGCCCTGAGATGAGGATGATTTATAGAAACAGCAGTCTTGGCACGCCGGATGCCAAACTCTTATTGAGTGTTGGTGTCGAGGAGAGTTTGACAGAGGATAGCAGCGTGGTCCAGTGGATAGAGCATCCCATCAGCCAGTGAGTCAGGAGACCTGGGTTCCCAGCTCTGCCACTGACCTGCTGCGTGTCCTTGGACAAATCACTTTCCCTCTGCGCCTCGGTTTCCCCTCTCAGCCTTCATTTGCCTGGGCTATTTAAACTGTAAGCTCTTCCAGGCAGGGTCTATGTCTGTACAGCCCCTAGCACAATGGGACAATTGGCTCTACTTTAATATAAATAATCAATTGGATTTGAGGATCCTTCATGGATACATTTAACATGATTCTTAGCTCGACCCGTGCTGTACCTCTTAGGTGGATTAAAGAAGGAACTGGAGCCTCCTGATAACACATGCTTAACGTTACATGAGGCCTGTTTGAAATGCCTCATATGGCCTCCCATGATTGGCTTTATGGAGATTCATTCTAGCCCAAAGGATCAGGGTGGAGAGGGTTTGGTTTTAAAAGCCAGCCTCCTTTTGGCTTCAATTCCTGAGGTGCAAGAGCCTGAATGCTAATCCACCCGATGGCTGCCCTCTGCTTGAATGGGTGGCAAGATGCGGCTCAGATGCTCTGAGCCGAAGGAAATTAACCCGCCACTAGTTCTGCGGCGCTCTCAAAAATGCAGGTCGTGGTTGAAGTTCATGGATGTTTAAGACCAGAAAGGACCATTGTGAACAATCTAGTCTGAGCTCCTATGTAACATCGCCCAGAGCGTGGCATCTAATGATTCCTCCCTCCAGCCCGTATCTTGTGGGGGAGCTAGAGCGGCTCTCGCTGTAGAGAAAGCCTCCCCAAGTGATGGAGAATCCACGCACATCTCTTGGGAAACTTCTAATGGTTAATTACACTCACAGCTAAACAACTGGCACCCTTTGACTGTTTCTAGCTTTAGTTGCTGGCCATTGGCTCTTGTGGTACCTTTTTGCTAAAGAGCCCTCTCTGATCTGGTATCTTGTCCCTATGTGGAGGTACTTCTAGACCATGTTCAAGTCACTTCTTCGCCTCCTCTTCGAGAACATAAAGGAGCTCAGTCTAGCCAAGTCTCTCAGCGTAAGGCAGGTTTTCCAGACATTGGATCATCCTTGCAATTCTCTTCAGCATCCTCTACAGTTTCTCCCGCTATCTGCCTTCGAGTCCTGGGCACCTTCCGGCAAACACTAGTGCCATATTTTAAACCCAGACCTGTAAAACCGTCCCTTTCTTTTGACAGCTCCTTGTCGAGCATGGTTTGCAACTAAACACAGGAGTGCAACTTTTCTTGTTCTCAGCTGTTCTTGTCTGGTTCCTGTACTGCCATTCTAATCCCCATGCTCCCACCAAAAGGGAACATAGGGTGTGTTATCCGTTATGGATCAAACAGACCAATTAGTGGGGCATGAGAAATACTCCTAAATGCATTGGTGAATAGGGAGGAACTTGCATGTACGCTTAATGTTAAACAAGTGCTTTGCTGAATCAGGGACTGGGGGGAAATTTTCACAAGTGACAAGTGTCTTGTTTACAGCAGCGACTGTGGAGCCGAAAGATGTATCTACATGGCAGGATAATGCACGGGAAGCCAGCAGGTGATTCTGTAGCGCGCCCCAGCTTGCCACACAGTAACTTCCCCTGCGGACGCTGCTGGAGTCCTAGAGTGCAGCTTAGCATGTTGCATTTCTCAAGCAGGCATATGCCACGCTGCGCTCAGGGACATTCACTGCACAGTAGCAGCGACCGCGCCGGCCGTTACTGCGTGGCGAGCTGGTGCACTCTAGATTCACGCCCTGGCTGGCTGTGCAATAACTCACTTTGTAGAGAAGCCCTGGTCAGTCCAAGTGAAAGTCACTAATAATTGTATTTTAGGTCTTTCTGTATTATTTCTTTGTCCTCGCTTGGGCATACGGCTCCTCCCAATTTGCAGCCACCTCTGAACTTGAATCTTTCTGCAGGTGACTTTCTTCTAGCTAATGATGAAGGGCGTGATCTACACCTGGGCCCTAACAGATCACTGCAGCATCCTCCCCACTTAAACGCCACCTCTACCCTTCTTCAACTTGATCTCAGCCATGCCAGCTTGGTTTAATGGTGACCCAAGATATTTAGGCTTCCCCTGAAATCAGTGGAAGTTAGGAGCCTAAATACGGTGAGGATCTGGGCCGTACTCCTGTCTGAAGCATTCGGGTAAGGTCTATTAATTGTATATTAACCCTTTATAAACGGGGGGAGCCCAAGATAAGCATTGAGAGCATTATGATTAATGTCACAGCCCTGTTTGCAAAGCACTCCAGAAATCCTTTAGGGCAAGTGTTATGGAATATCTGACCATGATGATGTCGCCAAAGGACACTCTGGATTCTGTGATGGCGAGAAACGGCTCCTGTTTTTCTGGTTTGTCTTCCCCCCCCCCCCCCAATATCATGCGGCGAGGTTCTGAGCTGCATGTGCACAGCTGGGGGCGAAAGTCTTTACAATAATGCCCCGCTGGTGAACTGTGCCCTGCGGGGTCCCTGTCCGCTGGATGGGAGGGAGCCCAGAAGTAGGGTATGGAATGCCCCGGGCAGACACTAGGGATTGTGAGTTTATACGCTGGAGGCTAACGCTTTTAGCTGGGGGAGGCCTCCCAAGAAGGGAGGGCGCCCGATGGCTTTGCAGTCTATGCGGTGGATGTTTTAAGACTAAAATGTAAGGGTGGGGGGGGGGGAATAATGGGATATTTCCAGTACAAAAGCTCCTTTTTATCAACTCTGTTGTCTCCTGATCCCAGCCTCTCAAAGAGGCCTTTTCTTCCCCCTCCACCAATAGGCTGGAGCTGTCATGGGAGGGAGCCCTTGGCTGCTTTCCATGTGCTCTGCCAAGGAATGTGGCTAAAAAAAGAGAGAAAAAACACACCAGTGGAATAGTTAGGAGGGCCCCTTCCGATGCAGCGCGCTCGGCGCTCCAGGCAGATACCATGAAGCGGTAGCAACGGCTGGGGGATCCCCCGTCTACCATCTCCGGACCAGGTTTGGCATTTCTTCTGCTCTCTGGCTTTACCATTATCTGTAGGGTGGTCACCAGCTGGCATTTTTTTTCTTTCCTTCCCCTTTCCCTGTTAATACACTGTGAGAAGGGAGCTACCCGCCTGCTTGGGGATAGTCTCCAAATGGGACGTTGGAGGACAGGGAGGCAGGACTCCTGGGTTCTGTTTCTGATTTGCTCTCTTCCCCCCCCCCCCCCCACCGTGCCTCAGTTTCCCCATCTGTGGAACGGGACCAGATCCTCGCTGGTGTAAACTGGCATAGTTACATTGTAGTCAATCTAGCTACAGTACTTATCTGGTCCCCGTTACTTAGTAGCCGAGAGCCTCACGGTCTTGAATCGATTTATCCTCACAGCCCTCTTGAGCGGTAGGGCAGTGCTACGATCCCCCTTGTACAGGCCGGCTGGACCATTAAGGCCAGCCGGGCTGTGAGCTAGCAGCTGTCCCTCAGCCTCCTGAGTGATCCTAGCTGGATGTGAAGGAGACTTTAATTATAACGACTGACCCCACCTGTGTCTAGGGGCGGGGGGAGTGGAATCAGAGAGGGCTCCTTAAACAGAGCCGTGAACTCAGTCAAGGAGGAGGCCCAGGAGAGAAGAGGCTGGAGAAGCCAGCCGGAAAGAGACCCATATGGAGCCAGCTGGACTCCTCTGGAGGGGCCCCGAAAGGAGCAGGGAGATCCCGGAGGGAAGCTGCCAGTGTCCCTAGAAAGGGGGCCCGTGGAGGGGAAACCTGCCTGGAGGTAGCAGCATAGGAGATACGCCGCAGGGACGTTCAAGAGTGGGGGACAGGAGCTGCTAGTTTAGAGATTTACTTGGACCTTTTGTTACCCCAGAAGGGGATTGAACTTTTCAGTGAGCTGGCTGGAGGGCCAGACCCTGGGAGAGTCAGGACACCGTTGGGGCCAAGGAAGCAGTGAGCAGGGGCGCTAGAAGCAAAGTCCCCTGCAATGCTGTGTCCAGGAACAAGGGGGTGCCCATGGCAAGGGTGTGCTATGACAGGAGCTGAGGCACCGGGACTAAGTGACTTGCCCAAGGTCACATAAGGAGTCTGTGGCGGAGCAGGGAATCGAACCCAGGCATCCTCGGTACCAGGCTAGCACCCCTATCCCTGGGCCCTCCTTTGCAGCACTCCCAGCCCTCCACCTCAGCGGTGGGTCTGACCCAGGATGATTAATGACGGATACTGGGGCTTTAGGGGACTCTGAGTCAGGACTCCCGGGTTCTCTTCCTAGCTCTGCCAGTGGCATGCGGTGTCCCCTCTCTGTACCTCCGTTTCCTCATCTGTAAAATGGAGGCCCCACGGCTCCCCTCAGACCCGGGGAGGTTTTAGCGGGGTGATGGCTGCGAAGCGCTTGGCTGATAAAGCACTATTCTGGGTGAGCGCTAGGCAGTCTTATTGCCTGGCAGGGGTGAGACTTTATTCGCTGATGACTGTAGAGTGCTTTGAATACGGAAAGTCGCTGAGTGCTTAGCAGCGTCTGCTGCAGAGAGGCCTCTTTATAAGGCTTCATTTCCCAATGCATTTTAAAATCGATCCCATGGCTTCTTTCCTCCTAAAACCCCAGCCCTGCCTGTCTGGCGAATGGGAGGTAGGTTAGGGTCTGCTATCATGCAGATTCGGTGCCTCCATTTGCCCCTCTGCAATGGGGATTATGCCCCTCATTCAGGTGCTGATGGTAGGAAGGGTGGTCTTGGGGTGCAGCACTGGATTGGAGCTCCGGGTTTTACCCGGAAGGAGGAAGTGCCAGAGGCTCCATAAAGTCCGCTACGCACTTTATACGATACTGATTTTATATGGAAGGTGCCCAGAGGCTATGGTGATGGGCAGCAGTATAAAACCCTACGACACATAGATAAGAAATCTCTGTTCGATTCCTGGCTCCTCATGTGACCTCAGGCAAGTCAGTTAGGCCCAGATCCTCGAAGGTATTCAGGTTTACCTTTTAGGTTCTGGGCCTTAATCTTTCTCTTCCTCAGTTTCCCCCATCTGTAAAATGGGACTGATACAGCTGTTTGTGAGAATAAACTGATTAAGACTATGAGGCGCTCTGTTAGTTCCTTCAGCGGCGGGAGTCATAATTACCTACATAGGCAGCGTATCGCACTTCTCACAAGCATCTTACTCCTCCGCATCGCAGGGTTTGTCTGATGCTTGCCAGAACTTGCCTTTCCACCTCCAGCCAAGAACCTTGGAGCTGTTTTCGAACACTAGTGAATCATGCCGCCCCGCCCCCTGGGAGATGGGGCTCGTTACCTGTTTAACAAAAGGGCGATCTAAGGGAAGGGACTTTCCCAAAGCTCCATCATCAGTTGAGCGGGAGCTCTCCTCACTCCCAGCCCCAGTGCTCTACCCACTGGCCCCCGCTGCTGTCTCTTTTGGGTTCTTCTCTGGCCCTCATCGCCACAGCATCTGTGTGCGTCACCGTCATCGAAGGGTCTTTTCCCCCGCAGCCCAACCCCAGGTAGGGAAGGAGGTGAGCCAGGAGGCTGTTGTGAGTATGTGGCGTGGGAGGGGCCCAGTCAAAGACTGAGAGGGAGCTGGATGGGCCCCCTGCCCAAAGGAATTGGGTTCAAAGATTCCTTTCCCTTTTCTCCCTTCTCACCGGGCACCTGAGCAGGGCCAGTCTGACCCTAGGGAAGATGAGGTTTCTGATTGGATGACTCTAAACTTGGAATGTGAAAACTCTCCTTGGCTGGGATGCCTACAGGAAACCTGGCAACGGTTACGCCTTGGTGGGCCGATCACTTTCGCCTTGTACTCCCCCGTCCGACTCCATCTGTTGTCTCTTTGTCTTTCTGACTTAGATCGGAAGGTCTCTGGGGCAGGGACTGTCTTTTTTTTTGGTCTGTGTTTGTACAGCCCCTTGCACCATGAGGTCCTGACTAGGGCTCTTAGGCGCTAGGTTGACCAAAATAATAATCAAAGAAAATCTTCAAGAGGTTAAACCTTTCAAATCTGGCTCCGCTCTCCCTCTCCTCCTCCCCTCCAAGGGTATGATGATTCTCGGTTGGCTAACGCTGTTCAGAGTGACATACAGCCATGTCCAGGAGAGGCTAGAGGTGCAGCAGCGATAGATACAGGCTGGTACGCTCGGAGTCGGGGACAAGGAGATCTGCTTGTCGTCTTGGACAAAGCATTGACTGCGGAGCAAACAGCAAGGGGCTGACCCAGAGCCTGATCTTTCTGAACCCCGTTGCAGCTGGTGGGTGTCTCGATTTGGAGCCCCAGTTCAGGGGAGGAGGAGGAGAGGGGAAATCTGACGCGGATTATCTTGTTCGGTGCAGCTGTTCCGGCAGATTGGCTCTTTCTGACTTTCTCCCTCTGTTCAAACCTTATGCAACTAACTTTCACCTTGGCTTCTGCTGCTCCCTCCTGACCCTTTGGGAGTCACGTGATGCGGATGGCTGGCATTCAATGGAAGCCTTGTGTGAAACTGACAAAGGAGGCTTGATTTCTAGCAAAGGGGTGGGGAGGGGGAGTTGATTTTTTTGCTGCTGTTCTTTTGGCAGGATAGGGCCGTGCTCCCCTTAGGGGAGTCGGGGGAACTCGAGCCAAACAAGGCAACGTTGGTTTCTAACATCGGTCGATTTTTGGAGGCTCCCTTTATCGTCACGGGTCTGGAGGATGGTGAAATCTGTGGCAAAATTATGCTAGGTCTTTCCCAAGGCCATTTGTGATCTGTGATGACCTGGAGCACCCAGCTGAGCTCAAGGCTCCATCGTGTCAGGTGCTGCACAGACAACACGGAGCGAGACAGTCCTTGCCCCCAAAAGGTCTGCAGCCTAAGTGGACCAGGCTGGCAAAAGTCGGAATGATGCTCATCCTCTCTGCGTGACCGGTCTCTTGTTTGGTCCTTTGATTGTACAGCCTTTGAGGCAGGGGCTGTCTGTGTTCTGGGTCTGTACAGCACCTAGTCCTGGTCCGTGAGTAGGGCTGCTAAGTGCTAATGCAATACCAATGAGAATCACCCCTGTTTTATGGATGGGGATGAGGCCCGGATGTTTTTTTAAAGGTATTTAGGCATTGTTCTGCTCACGTCGCACGGCCTAACGGGGTGAGGAGCTGAAGTCTCATTGAAAGTGAATGGGACTTAGGCGCCTAAAACTTCCGTTCCTCACTCAGGCCTTGCAACATGAACAGAGCAACACCTCAGTGACCTGTCCAAGGCTGTGCAGTGAGTCCACAAGAGAGCTGGGAATAGAGCCCCTGAAGCCTTGCACCCAGTCTGCTGCTCTAACCACTAGGAAACGCTTGTGACGGGTTGGATCACAGAAACCCCCTGGGAGCTGCCACCTGATGTGCCAAGACTACCTCTGTTCCTGCTTTCCCTGCCAGCTCAGGACTCCAGCACCCTGTCTTGCTGAGCCAGACACTCCCGTCTGCTCCAACACAGACCCAGGGTCTGAATTACTTGCCACAAAACTGCAGGTTTACCTAAAAACAGCTCACAGACGTGTGCTTGTCTTTCACACTCAGATGCCCAACTCCCAATGGGGTCTAAACCCAAATAAATCCGTTTTACCTTGTATAAAGCTTATACAGGGGAAACTCATAAATTGTTCGCCCTCTATAACACTGATAGAGAGATATGCACAGTTGTTTGTTTCCCCAGGTATTAATACATACTCTGAGTTAATAAGGAAAAAAGTGATTTTATTAAATACAGAAAGTAGGATTTAAGTGGTTCCAAGTAGTAACAGACAGAACAAAGTAAGTCACCAAGCAAAATAAAATAAAATGTGCAAATCTATGTCTAATCAAACTGAATACAGATAATCTCACCCTCAGAGATGCTTCAGTACGTTTTTTCCTCAGACTGGACACCTTCCAGGCCTGGGCACAATTCTTTCCCCTGGCACAGCTCTTGTTCCAGCTCCGGTGGTAGCTAGGGGATTCTTCATGATGGCGCCTCCCCTTTAGGGTGACCAGACAGCAAGTGTGAAAAATTGGGACAGGGGGTGGGGGGTAATAGGATCCTATATAAGAAAAAGACCCAAAAATCGGGACTGTCCCTATAAAATCGGGACATCTGGTCACCCTACTCCCCTTTGTTCTGTTCCACCCCTTTATATATCTTTTGCATAAGGCGGGAATCCTTTGTCTCTCTCTGGGTTTCCATCCCCCTCACTGGAAAAGCACCAGGTTAAAGATGGATTCCAGTTCAGGTGACATGATCACATGACGCTGTAAGACCCCCAAGCCTTCATTCCTCCCAGCCTGACTCACAGCAAGGCCTGACTGCAAACAGAGCCCCAGTCAATTGTCCTGGTTGATGGGAGCCATTAAGCTTCCAAACCACCATTAATGGCCCACGCTTTGCATAATTACAATAGGCCCTCAGAGTTGTATTTCCTATTTCTAGTCCCAGATACAAGAGTGGTACATTTATACAAATAGGATGATCACACTCAGTAGATTATAAGCTTTGTAATGATACATGAAGCATATTCCAGTTACATTATATTCACTCATTACCATATTTTTATAAAACCATATAGACTGCGCAACGTCACCACGCTGCTTCCCAGAGTCAATGAGCCCTGGCTCCCAGCCGTTTGCTCTAACCATTGGACCACATTGCCAAAACTGAGAGCAGGGGTTTTGGGTTCTAGTCTCAACCCCGGCTCCCTTCTTAGTTCAAACACCTGCCATCAATATGAGTAACTGGAGAAAAGGAGACGAGATGCAGATGTTCCCTTCTAGTCCTGGTTCCTTTCACAGATGTGGCACGGTCTAGTGCAGCGTTTCTCAAACGCGGCCCCCAGCAGATTTTTTTTTGCTGCCACGACAGCCTCCAAAGCCTGGGCAGAGATTGGGGTTGCCAGCAGGGATCGGCGTCCTGCACTACGCAGCCTCCTCAGGGGCTCTGGGCAGCCCCTCTGGGGACGCATGGGGCCTGTGTGTGTAGCGCCAGAGGCGGCTCTTGTCAGTGGAGGCAGCTGTGGGGTTTGGTCACCGGGGCGCTCCCCTGCTCCAGCCCAGCTGGGGCACGGAGAGCCTGGGACACAAGCTCTGGACCTACCGGGTTGGGCTCTCGCTGAAGGGACAAAGAGACGGGTTTGTCAGAGCGGCCACCAGCAAGAGTTGGTGGCCACACTCTGAGGCCCCCAAAAATGTTGTGAGAATCCCTGGAAGTGGCCAGGGCGCTAAAAAAAGAGCTTAAAATCACGACACGAGAGCACCGCGAATGCTCGGAAACCAGTTGGCAAATCAAACAATCTGTGATTTTTTCCCCCCATTAAATCTCACGACGTTGCTAAGCCAATCTAATGACTTTGGCGCACCCGACTCGTGATTTTTGGAACACTTGGCAATGCTGCGGAATCCAAGCGATCACAGCTTCCAGGCAGCGAGCGTTCTTCCCTGCTTGTGAGATCTTCCGGACTCTTCTGGGCCGGGGATGCTGCTGCTTCTCTGTTTGGAGAGTACCTGGGACGTGCTGAGCCCTAGTCCACCATTCCCGGTGCAAGCTGACTGTATATTCCCTCTGTGTTGCTGTGCAATGATAATTATTTTGCTTTCTCTCCCCCTTTATTTGCAATGTCTTTCCAGGACACCAATGTTCGACCCTCTAGCAAGGGGCTAGAGAAGAGCGAAGCCGCATAGGAGAGTTAGAGGCTCTGAGGGGTTCATTGCTGCTCTCCTGAAGGCCGAGCCACCTGCACCTTTAATATTTATTTCCCCCCCTCCTCTGACCTAAAATGCTGACGATAAAGTTGCCTCAGATATTCAGGGTTCACCAAGTACCTCGTGTGAGTATTGCCCCACTTCACCTCGATCACGTGTCTTGATCTCTGCAATTCCAGTCTGTCTCTAAGCAGGAACTAGATCCAAACAGGCAACCTTCCACACAGAACGAGTCCCAGCTTTGTCTCCTTTGTTGACCAGGCAACCGCATTTCCCCTCCGGGTGCTCTCTACCGCATACGGAGCCATCTAGTGGCTAAATAATATATTGCAAGTGAACCCTATATTACAACACAGACCTTTGGGAGGCTCCATGTAATTGGTGCATACAATATGGAGTGTACTGATATATCAAGCGATCTGTTGAATTAGGAGCGGGGAGATGAAGTGAGTGGGGATGGGGTGCAGGGACCAGGGTTAGTTCTGGTTTTATTTAGCATCTTTATAGGTGGTACGGGGAAGGCACGTTAAATGAAATTCACGCGCTACCAAAGGGGGCCAAGTTGCAAATACCAGAGAGGACACGCACATGCTGTACTAAAGGGATCAGTTATGGGAGCAGTAGACAAAACAAGATTCACCTGGAGAAAGAAGCAATTGCTTCTATCTAGGATGGAAAACAATTCAGCACACACAGGGCCTCGTTTGCCTCTCCCCAGCCGGGGTATAAATGGAGAGGAGGGACCCCCATGGAGTTAGAGCAGGGGTACATGAGGAGTCATGCCACTGAAATCACCACAGTCCTGTTGGGATAGACCTGGGAGAATCAGGTGTACAAGGTCAATGAAAGAGACAGACCTGGGAGGCAACCGGTGGCAAAGGCTTTACAAAGCCCATGTTAACTTCCTGAGGCTTAGTATATTGGAAGGAGAAGGCTGTTGTGTGATGTGGTGGTACCATGGGTAGGGACCGATTTATTGTTCTGTTTGTACAGCGCCTAGCACCATGGGGTCCTGGTTCATGATGAGGGCTCTGGGGTGCTACCGTGAGACAAATAATAAAATCTCTTTAGGGGAGGACAATCGTTACCCCCCCCCATCCCTATTCAGCAGGACCCACCCCCCCTTCTAACACACCCACGCGCACACTTAGTAAATTGCTGATTTGAACAGTGTGGCATTTTGCCGTCTTTCTCCTATTAGTCTGCTTGTTCTGATTCATTGTGTCCTCCGTAGTCAGGATCTTATCCCCAGTGGGGCATAAATCTGCCCAGATCCATTGGAGCCAATGGGGCCAGATCCCACGTAGCTGGTGTAAATGGGTGTCACTCCATTGGCGTCACTGGGCCAGATCTCCAGCTGGTGTCAGCGTAGACCCTGATTTACACCAGTCGAGGATCTGGCCTCCGGTCTTTGAGATGAGGTCAACACTCCCCCAGCATAACATGCAGTGAGTGAAATGACTCCGAGTGGTGAGGACAGGCTGGGTGGGTGGCGGGTCAGGTCCCCTGGCCCCGGCTGAACTTTCTGAACAGTGAGCATAAGGCAGGCTCTGTTCCCGGACTCCCAGCCCTGCCTCTCCCACGCGGCGGTGATTCCAGGACGGATTGTTGCATCATGGGTGGCCCTGCTTCTCTCTTCCAAAGGCAGCTCCGTGCAACTCCCAGCACAGAAGCCCCCATGGAAAATCCCCCAATGAAAGAGAGGGGCCCTGATTCTGCTCCTGGTTCAGAGACAAAACCCCTATGCTGTGGGGGGCAGCAGATAGGACTCTGCCCTGGGGGGTGGGAGACCTGGGTTCTCTTCCCAGCTCTGCCACTGGGCGACCTTAGGCAAGTCACTGCTCCATTCTGTGCCTCAGTTTCCCCATCTGTACAATGGGGCTGTTGATACTGACCTCCTGTGGAAAGCATTTGGAGATACTGTATAGGGATGTCCCAATGTGGATTTCACTAAGGGATGAAATAACGCCTCCTTGTGGTTCCCTCTGACCCGACGTGGCTTTTCTCCCCGGGCAGATCTTCTGGGAGGATGGCATCATATCCGGCTACCGCCATCCAAAGAGCTCTGCCTTGGACTGCATCCTGAGCTCCTTCCAAATGACCAACGAGACTGTCAATATCTGGACCCACTTCCTCCCGACCTGGTAAGTGACTGGCTGGGCTGCACCACATGAAGCGTGACTCCTCAGCCGCGGGGCGATGCCCGTCCTGCCTGGGAGCGTGGCTTCCTGGGGGCACGGACTCACTCAATGGAGATAGCTGTGAGAATGTGGGAATCTTTCAGCTAAACACGTCTCTGTCGGAAAATGCCGATGGGTTGAAACTCTTCGTGGGGGAAACGGGAGGTTTCAATGGATTTTTTTTAACTCAACCTCCCCCCCCCCCCCCCCCCCCCCTTTTTTTTTTTTGGAGACCTGCTGGAATGTTTCGTTTCAGCCTCTTCGAAATGAAAAATTGGGCGTTTTCCAGATCAAAGTGGCTCTTTGTTTAGAGCTGTAAAGCCAATTAAAGTAAGAAAACCACCGCCAATCAAAATAACCCACGGGAAAATCCTCGAAAGCATTGACCCGAACCAAACCTTTTTGAAACTTTTTTTTTTTAACTTTTCGGCCCATTTCTGAATGGGAAATTTCTTTGCTCTCTTGAACTTTCATGGGGGCGGAAAAACTATGTTGCCCCCCAGCTCTACCACCTGCCCTTCGCTGCTGTGGCATGGGCCTTGGTGGAGGGGTGCCAATCTTGCACATTATTACATAGGAGACAGGACTGAGAGGGTCCTCCTGGGTCATAGAGTCCAGTTCAGGCTTTGCCCAATAGTCAATATGAAGAAACGACAGCTGGGTCCCCACGCAGCTGTTAACTCTTCAAGGAATCCGTCCCAGCAATGGAAGCAGGGTGGTCTAGTCGCCAGACCAGGGAACTGGGAGTCGTTATTCCGGGGTTCCATCCTTTGGCCTCTGAGGGTGTGTCTACACAGTGAAGGAAACCCCCTGGCTGGCCCGTGCCAGCCGACTCACGGTCGTGGGGATTGGTCTACACCAGTGGTTCCCAAACTGGGGTTCGTGAAGCCTTGGGGGTTCGCAAAATGTATCAGGGGGTTCTCAGAAAAAATTCTGTAATAGCGGACAGAGCCGTCCCTAGGGTGACCAGACAGCAAGTGTGAAAAATCGGGACAGGGGGTGGGGGGTAATAAGAGCCTATATAAGAAAAAGACCCAAAAATCAGGACTGTCCCTATAAAATCGGGACATCTGGTCACCCTACTAGGGACCCCAACCCCCGTGGGGGCCGGCAGCCCGAGCCCCGTGACCATGACTTCCTGGCAGAACAAGTTTAAGCTTTGTTGTAGTGCTGTGTTGTTTGCCTGGACTGCTCAAGACCCGAATGCTTGTGGGAGAAACTCTTTATTTGAGTTGGCTTCTTAAATACCTTCCTGCTGTTTCACGGCTGGTTCTCCTGGATGAAACATGTAGGAGGCTTAATCGAAGTGACACGAGCTACAGAAGTGGAATCTTGGAAGAGTGGTGCCGTTTTCGTAATGTAATAAAATTAATAATGTAATGTAATGATAAATAGTGTGTAATAAGCGTGTCATAAAAAACCCGAATTATTTCCAAGATCACTGCTTCTATCATTTATGCTCAGGTAAGGGAAAAAATCCCTGGAAATATTCATTTTTAGGAGGGGGTTTGTGAGATTTGATATTTTCGTGAAAGGGGTTCACGGGCTGTTAATGTTTGGGAACCACGGATCTACACAGGGTTGTTTCATTGCAGTGCTTGGGCTGGAGCCCGGGGTCTTGGACCCTCCCGCCCCACAGGGTCCTGGAGCCCGGCTTTCTGCCTGAGCCTGGAAGCGAACATTGCAATCAAACAGTCCCGCCCCACGAGTCCGAGTCAGCTGACATGGGCCAGCCGTGGGTGTTTAGGTGCTGTGTAGACATCCCTTGAAGGAGTGATGTCTAGTGAGTAGAGCAGGAGTCAGGACTCCTGGGTTCCATTCCCAGCTCTTCAAAGGCACAAGGGCCTAGTGACTAGAGCAGAGGGTACGGGGAGTCGGGAATCCTGAGTTATGTTCTGTTCTCTTCATTTCTGCCTCAGTTTCACCATGTGGGAACTGACATGACAATGCTGCGGAGCTTGATCTAGAAACTCCAGAGGTCTGGTTCCCGGCTCCCTAAGCTCAGAGGGTGTGGGAAGTTGGCCAGAGCTCATTAAGGTCTGGGGGGAGCTATCGTCCCTGTGATGCACCATCCCCATTTGTGCCCATGGACCTCTCAGGTATTTCGTGTGGCGGTTCCTGGGGCTCTCCTCCTCCCTGGATTTCTGCAGAGACGCCTACAACTGGCCTTTCCTTGTCTACATGTTGCTGGTCTGCCTGTACCCCTTCACCTCCAGCTGTGCCCACACCTTCAGCACCATGTCCGCCCACGCCCGCCACATCTGCTACTTCTTTGACTATGGAGCCCTCAGCCTCTACAGCCTGGGTAAGTCCAAAGCTGCCATGTGGCAAGCGGCCAGTGGCAGCGAGTTAAAGACGAGGCCAAAGGGTCTCTGGGCTTGTATCTAGGGAGGGGCTCGAGCCACAGAATTCAGCTCTGGAATCCGGATGCCCTCGCCAGTTGGATCCACGGTCCTGGGTCAGGTGCAGCTCTGTTGAATAGCCCAGCCTTTGGGAGTACGCTTCTCCTTCTGGGTCAGCCCGGCAGCTCCCCAGGCTACATCCTTGGCTGCTGTAAACCAGCACTAGGGTGACCAGACAGCAAATGTGAAAAATCGGGATGGGGGTGGGGGGTAATAGGAGCCTATATAAGAAAAAGACCCTAAAATCGGGACATCCGGTCACCCTAATCAGCACAGCCCCGTTGACTTCAAGTGACACCAAGTTACACCCATGGGAGATCTGTCTCTGATTAGGAAATCTCACCACGGTGAGAAATACAGACTCTCCTCTCTTCGGTTGTACGCCCAGCCAGCCGGCTACCCTTCCAGGCTCCTTTGCGCTTAAATGCAGCCCCCTCGGCTCTGGAATCTGCTCCCCAGGTTGATCTGCCAGAGCCAGTCTGACTTCTCAGAACGAGGAGTCCTTGTGGCACCTTAGAGACTAACAAATTTATTTGAGCATAAGCTTTCGTGGGCTAAAACCCACGTCATCAATCAGATTAGATTAACTTCTAAGGTGCACAAGGACTCCTCGTTGTTTTTGCTGATACAGACTAACACGGCTACCCCTCTGAAATCCGACTTCTCCGTGTTGTACTGCCCTAAAGCCTCTCTCGTTTCCCCCTGAACAATTGATCAATTTCAGTTTGGGGAGTGAGTTCTCTCTGGACTAGATTTTGCCAACACCCTGAAGTCAGTTTTTTGATTCACTGGCAATTCTGGAAGAAACATTAAATTAAAACTGGAACGCCCAGTGAATCAGAAAATCCAAATCATTCCATTTGGGGTTGAATGAAGCATTTAATTCAATGGAGCATTTTGTTCTGTTTTTTTGAGCATGTTTTTTAATGTGTTTAAAAAAACAACCACCTAAAAATGAAAGTGAAATAAGCAAATTGAAACGGTTCGTTTCCGAAAACGTCAAAATGGAACTTTGATTGTTCGTTGGCATCTTGTTCCAACTGAAACAAGGTGACCAAACTGGCATTTTTGGTGTCACTGAATCCACTTTTTGTTGTGGTTGCCAAAAAAAAAGATGTTTCAGTTGAAAATCTCCACCCAGCTCTATTAAGCTCCCAAAGGTGGTTTCATAAAGTTCGTTGGTTTCCCTGCCGCTAAGCGACTAGCACAGGGGTGGCCAACCTGAGCCTGAGAAGGAGCCAGAATTTACCAATGTACATTGCCAAAGAGCCACAGTAATACGTCAGCAGCCCCCCATCAGCTCCCCCGCTGCTCCCAGCGCCTCCCACCCACCGGCAGCCCCACCGATTAGCGCCTTCCCCGCACCTCCCAATCACCTGTTCGTGGCCTGCAGGAGGCTGGGGGTGGGGGGAGTGAGGGCACGGCAGGCTCAGGGGAGGGGGCGGGAAGGGGTGGAGTGGGGGCAGAGCCAGGGGTTGAGCAGTGAGCACCCCCCAGCACATTGGAAAGTTGGCGCCTGTAGCTCCAGCCCCGGAGTCGGTGCCTAGACAAGGAGCCGCATATTAACTTCTGAAGAGCCGCATGTGGCTCCGGAGCCCCGGGTTGGCCACCCCTGGACTAGCGGAATGTGAGCTGGAGTCTTTATCAATGCCATCCCATAATGTAGTGTGTTTGTGTTATAGGCTGTGCTTTCACATATGGAGCCTATGCGATGCCAGACCGTTGGGTTAACAGCACTTTACACCATTACTTTGTACCAATGGCTGCTTTTAATTCATTTATCTGCACCAGTCTGTCTTGTTACTCCCGGTATGTAAGGATCTATGCAGTACCAAGAACATATTATGCAAAATATCAGGGCGTTCTCCATTGCTCTGCTCTGCAAATCCTCCTTGCATCTGTTTCTTTATGCATAATACACTAACACCCCAGCCAGTCAGCAGATCTGTCCTATTAGCTTGTGAGGCAAATTATTCCACGCTTAACACCCATACAACCCTTGTTGATTTCAGCAGGGGCTGCATTGAGTGAGACTCGTGCATAATTTCACAAGTTGTTTTGAATGCAGTGCCGCGTTGGCCTGTGGAACTCCTTGCCACAAGATGCCACTGAAGCCAAGAGAACAATCTATGGTTACATTACATAGGATAAAAACAGTGGACGTGGGGTTTCAATCTTTCAGGTCATAAGCCAACCTCTAGCTGACAAGGGGCTGGGAAACATCCCCTGTGGTGGGCAGGTTAGTCCATAATTATTCTTGCACCTGTCTGAAATGTCTGGTTCTGTCCGCTGACAGACAGGGCGGGCCAAGTAATATATTTTATTGGCCCAACTTCTGTTGGCGAGAGAGAGACTCTTTCAAGCTTGCGCACGGCTCTTCGTCAGGTCATCCACTCTGAGACTGGTTGCTGGTTCTCCGGCCCTGGCTGATTTCACTCGTGTTGCTTCAGGCAGAGGGTAGAATCGCCTGTTGTATCATCTGTTCTGTTGGAAGCAGGCGCCTTCATTTCAAACGCTGATCAAACAAATCCCTTTGTAGAGTAATAACCATTCAGTCCTTAAAGGGAGCCAGTACCCAGGTAGCATGAGAATTGGCATCTAGTGGCGAGAGCAGCGGATAGGGCGTCTGGCCTGGACTCCTGGGTTCTATTCCCTACTGAGCTACTGTCTCACTGCTGGACCTTGTGATCACTTCCATTCCCTATACCTCAGCCTCCCCCATCCCCCAGTCATGGGTCTGTCTAAACTGCACGCTAAGCCTGGGGGCTGACTCAGGTTTGAGCCCTAGCCCCCCTTCCATCCACACACACATCAATCTGACTCGGCTCAGCAAGGACTCAGGTCCTCAGACCCTGCTCTGGGGGTGGATCAGAGAAAGTCCCACTGACTCGGGTCCAAGCCCTGTCATTTTTGCAGTGTGGATGCAGCTCAAACCGCAGGTCGGCGTAGTGCAGTGTGGACGTGTTAGCATGGCTGTGAGACCTTGGTCCAGCAATTGTAAACCTGGGTTTCCACTGCAGTGTGGACGCTCAGACGTGGGCTTGGAAACAGTCCACGAAGCTGTCTCACCGATGTGGGTTCACAATGCAGTGTAGACATACCCTGGATGGATAAATAATTCTACATACCCTAGGGGGGTGTGGTGAGAATTGAATGTCCAAGATTTTCAAAAAGTGGCAACTGGTTTCAGAAACCCAAAGGGGGCTTCATTTGCAGAATCTCTGGGCAGCCCAAACCCCAGCTGGCATCCGTGGGAGCTGTCTGAAAATACAGCCCCAACCGGGCACCCAGACAGTGGCAACTTCTGAAAACGTTGACGAGAAGGATGTGTCAAGCACATTGAGATCCACAGATAGAAAGCAGCAGGGAGAGATGCAAAGTGTTCTTCTTTCGTTCAGCTCTAGTGGCCCCAGAAGTGCCACCCGCCAGGAACTAAACAGCTCAGAGGATGTGGAAATAAATCAGTTTTGGTTACATTTCTGGGCCATGACAGTCTTCCAAGTAAAAACAGCGCAACAAGCGGGTCGGGGTATCTCCTGTTCTATGCAGTTGGAGGGAAGTGGTGTTAATTACTGTAGGTCTAAGATCTCCTGCTTTCCCAGGTTGCTCCCACTTCCAGCCCTCTCCTTAATCTTTCCTTGATGCTGGTCTGCTCTTGAAATTGACGAGAACAGCTGCTGCTCCCTCCAGGTCATTGGGCCTCAGTCCCGAAGCTGGGAAAGGAACCGTTTTTAATTTCAAGGGGAGGTTCTAGTCTGAAATGTGCCTTTGTACGAATGGTCCTGTGTGGTTTCTTGCCTCTCGGTTACTCCAGATCAAATCTCTTTTTATTCGCTGGTGAGAACAAGTTGGTTCTTAGCTGCTGCTTCTCCGTTTCATACATTGTCACTAAGAACAAACATCTTTCAGGCCCATGTTGTGCCATCAGGAACCCGTATGCAGTCCTATTGTCTTCCCTGGGTTTATACAGCGGATTGGAACTAGTAAGCAAACCTGCTGCTGCAGGAAGAGGAATGAAATCCAGATGGTGCTGTACAGGGCCATACAAATCAGCATAGGTTTATTTTTGCCACTGAAGTCAGCAGAGACAACACTGCCTACCCACAGATCTGCTGAGAGAGGAGTTTTGACATTGTAACTTTCTAAAATAGAATGGCAATTTTTTTTTTGCAAGCATATTTTCCACCATCACTTGAAACAGAAATGACCAGGAATGGTGTCCAAGTGCTGTTATGCAAGAAGGCAGCTGGACGTGGCAACAATCGTGACTTTTATTTTCACAGCATTCTCAGTGCAGACTTCAATTGTAATCAAACGCCACACACTTCCGGGCGTGGGAGGGGGAGAGGAAATCAAGCAACATGCTGGATTTGGTTGGGATCATACTAATCACAATGAATGGGATGCTGTCACGTTGTCTTGGACTCCCTTCGTTAGCTTTTTTGTGTTTAAAAACAAAACAAAACAAAACAAAACAAAAAAAACTATCAAATTTTTACAAAACCTGAAGAGTGGTGTTAAATATTCCCCTAGATATCGCCAACCAAATTCCCCAGTTGCCTTCTTGTGCATGAGATCTTGAAAGGGAAATTGACTAGAAACAAAAATTCCCTTGCCTGGCTTGCAAATGCATTTTAGTGTGAAATTCACTAGGAAGAAAAAAAATTAAACTGACCAGTCTGTGCATTTTCCAAGCTCAGTGAATTGCAAACAGTAAATTAACATTTCAGTCTAACATGAATTTCATCCTGCTCTCTGCTCTTAATCATTCAGGCTTGGATTTTCAAAGGTGACTCTAAAGAAATTAGGCACTCAGTTGGAAGGAGTTTGGTGTCTGGGACCCTGATCAGAATAGCTATTGCAGAATAAACTATTAGGCAGTATTCGCCGTTCCAGAATAATCTGGTGTCCACACAGTAATATGGACTAAGAGACACTTTTGTTACAGAATAATTAGTGCACTTCCAAATCAGAGTAATTATTCCAGAATACTGGAATCGAGTGCCCGCATTGGAGCTGTTACAGAATAGCTTATTCTGCAATTGTCAATGGCTGTGTAGACAAGACCCTCGTCTCCTTTGAAAAATCAATCCTGGCTTCAGTGTGTGAAGGTTCATTTGTAGTAATCGACTTGTGATCATGGCTATAATAATCTGCGCTAATAAACCGGGGCACTGGTAAAAGAGGGAAGATTTGGTTTGGTTTCCGCATCCATTCCAGAACTGAATTTAGTGAGGCTCGTGGGCAGCCCTCAGTGACTGTGCGGCTCTTAATCCACATCTCTCCCTGTGTGATTCCCAGGTTCCCGGAATTGGAGTGTCCCCGGCTGAGCAAGGTTTTACGGACAACGGCCTTTGTGTATCCCTTTGTCTATGACAATATCCCGCTGTTTTATAGGGTAAATCCATTTCAGGGGCCATTTGGGTTGGGACTCCCTTGCCCTAGGCTTGGTAGGGAAATTACTGTACACCAGTGGTGCCTAGAGACCTCAGCTAAGATTGGGTCCCATTGCAGTGGGTGCTGCAAAGCCACTACCCCATAGAGCTGACACTCTAAATAGACAAAGGGTGGGAGAAAGGAAGCATTTTTCTCCCCATTTTACAGATGGGCAAATTGAGGTACAGAGAGATTAAGGCCAATTTTTTTCCCCAAAGGGACTAGATTTGCTTTGTTTGCTCTTTGGGGGCAGGGTGTCTTGTTGTTCTGCGTCCTAGTCCAGAACTGAGGCCTCTAGACGCTCCCCCCATAACCATGACTTCTGGATGTGCACCGTGAAACACCTGGAAGAGTCCTGACTTCCTGAGAGCGGGGGCTCAGCACTGTTTGCTGCTCAGTCCCTTTGAGGTGTCTTGAGTTGGGGGAGGGCCCCCCACATTGCAAATTGCTGTGGCAAATGTTGTCTCCGTCCCCACTGGGAGACTGTGGGAGAGCCAGCGAGGCGTGGGACTCAGGAGAGTGGTTGGAACCCAGGAGAAGGCGTTTCCATGGAAGACATTAGCAGTTTTTAAAAAGGGAGTGTCTCTTTAATGCCTCCTGCAGGGTTCTGGCCGGCGATGCAAGCAATAACCGCTTCCCTGGCTTGTTTTCCTCAGCAATGCAGGATGTGACTCAACCTTACCAGAAAGGAACCGCTCGGGCTTTGAATTTGCTCCCAGCGCTAGCAGGCAGTGGCTGTGTTGCAGAGGGCGCGGGCTCAGCGGGCAGAACGAACACACGCACCCACCCCACCCCACCCCAGACACCGCTAGGCTGCTGGAAAAATTCTGCCGTCGATAGCTACTGCCACTCCAGGGGGTGGATTTACTACAATGATGGGGGGAAAACCCCTTCTATGGCTGTAGCAAATGTCTAAACTATAGGGGCACAGCTGTAGCGCTTGTAGGGGAGACGTAGGTAATGTGGGGCTGGACCACTGAGGTGTTGGGCCTGCTACCGCACTGGCTAGTGGGGCTGGGTCTCTGAGCTCAGTTGGTAGAGGCTTGTGCTTTTCCATCCCTAGGTCCCAGGTTTGATCCTTGCTGCTGATCCTAGAACCGTAGGGTTAGAAGGGATCACGAGGGTGGTCTAGTCTAATCCCTCTGCCAAGACTCAGGATTTGTTGTGTCTGAACATCTGATGACCCACCCCAGGGTACTGCATTTCCCAGGCTGACCCACGCTGGCTTCTGGGGCAGATCGGGGCTCTGCCTGGCGCAATGCAGTTGCCGGAGTGGAACCTGAAGAGTTAGGCCCTGCTTTGGGAAAATGCTTAGTGCCGTAAGGTAGGCAGGGTGGTCTAATGGATAGAGCTTTGAGGTTTGCAGTCAGGATTGCTGGGTTCTATTCCCAGCCCTGCTACTAAACCTGCTGGCTGATTTCCCCCCCTCTGTGTGCCTCAGTTTCCCCTCCCTGTCTCGACTAATTACACTCCAAACTCTTTCTGTGGGTACGTACCATGCCTGGCCCCGATCGCTGCTGGGGCCTCTAGCCAGCCCCAAGCTATAGACAACATGTAATGATAGAAAGGAAGGCAAACATTACTAATTCATCCTCATGGCTTCTCGCTGAGGTACGCCGGTGTTCCTGTCCTGCTTTGACAGAAGGGGAAACTGAGGTGGGGGAGGGAAGTGACTTGCTCAACTGAGTCAGCAGGAGAGCTGAGCATAGAACCCAGGAGTCCTAGTGGTTAGAGCATGGCCCTAGATCACATGGCTGGAGCCAGGAATAGAACCCAGGAGTCCTGACCCCCAATGTAACCACTAGAGCACACTCCCACAGCCAGGTTAGAACCCCGGAGTCCTCACTTGTCTTCCCTACAACTACTTCTCCTCTCTCCCACCCCATCCCCGTTTTCCCTGCAGCTTCTGTTCTGCTTCGGGGACGGCTGCACCTGGAACGATGCCACCGCGGGTTACTTCTACCACCTATTCTTTGCCCTCCTCACCGGCTTCCTCTTTGCCTCCCACCTGCCGGAACGCCTGGCGCCCGGGCGCTTTGACTATATTGGTAAGGGGGGGGGCGGGAACCCGGCTCCTGGACCCCAGCCCACTTTGTAGGAGCCACGCCCGTGTGTCTCGACGCCCTGTCGCGAGGCCAGTCGACCGTGGCCAGCAGGGCGTGTCGCACTGTGACGGCTTCACCCCTCCTGTGGCCTCGGCGCCCTCCCCCGCCCCGTTCTGCCCCCGGTTGCTCGCTGGGGATTCCAGGAGGCCTGTGACCTGCCCCACATGGAGGGTGAGGTGCCTGACCATGCCCTGGCTACCCTGGACGCCGCAGACCCAGCCATGCTCAGGAGCCCAGCACCGGACCCTCCTGCTCCAATGTCTAGATCTGGAGTGACTCTGTCCATCAGCTTCCCCATCACTTATGGGGGTGAATCCCTGGGAGTCGAGGTGTGGGGGCTGGTCAGGTGCAGAAAGGCCCTTTAGCGCCTGGGGCCAGCTGGGAAAGCGGGGAGGGGTGTTTTCTTGGCATCCCTCTCTTCCCATCCCCCCCTTGCCCAGGTCCAAGCCACCCACCAGCCCCTTTCTAACCTTTCACCCCCCGCCATCAGCTCAGCCCCTTCCTGCACCCCCCACACACCCACCTCCCACCAGCCAGGTCCCTTCCCCCACCCCACCTGCCCCAGTGTTACCCACAGCAGGGACTGATAACCTCCCCCCAACACTTATCTCTCGGCAGGGCACAGCCACCAGCTGTTCCACATCTGCGCAGTGGTGGGCACCCACTTCCAGCTGGAGGCCGTCCTGTCGGACGTGCGCTCGCGGCAGGCCTGGCTGAGCACCCGGGCCCCGGCGCCCGCCTTCTCCGCCACCTTCGGCACCGTCAGCCTGGCCCTGCTGGGGAACCTGCTCATCATCGGGGGTTTCACTGTGGCCCTGCTGCGCTGGCCGGGCGGCGCCTCCATCCTGCAGAGCACCGTGCCCGAGGCGGGCCGCCCCAAGGAGCAGTGATGCCCGCCCGCCCCCAGAGACAGCGGGTGAGGGCGGCTTGGGGGCTGAAGGGAGAAGGGCCCCTAGCGCGTGTGTCTCAGTGCCTGGCGGGATCCACCTCTCGTACCTCAGGACGGCTCCGTGTGGGAGGGGCCGTCCCGTGCCTTTGTCACAAGGTTCCCTGACGAACGCTCCCTGAAGTGGGGGTGCTCGAACCTAGGGCTGAGCCTCCAGCCCTAGATCCAGCTCTCACCAGTAGCCCATACTCCCCTAGAGCTGGGAGAAGAACCCAGGCGTCCTGACTCCTGATCCCCTGCTCTGACCCCCTGTAACTGCAGCCGTCCTCCCGTGAGGCCGCGGACGTGGGCCGCCGGTGTGTCACCGGTGATAGGAGGCCTCCGGAGACGCTTGTGGCTGTTTGGCTTTGGGAACTGGGCATGATCCAGGGTTTTCCCCTGAACCGAACCCCCGGGCTGATGCTGTCCCCTTCTCGCCCCTGGATGGCTTGAAATCCAAACTGGAATGGGGCAGCTTGACTCCATTACTGGCCAGAGACAAGATGAGAGGCACATTAGCAGGACTCTTGGGTTCTATTGCCAGGTCTGGAAGGGAGCCTGGTCCTAGTGCATGGAGCAGAGGCTTGGCAGCCAGGACTCCGGGGTCAGTTCCCAACCCTTGCACCGACTCAGCGTGTGACCCTGGACAAGTCACTCCCTGCTCTGCGCCTCAGTTTCCCCATCTGTAAATAGGCTAATACCACTTGTCCGTCCTGCCCAAAGCCCTTGGAGATGCTCGAATGAGAGGCAAAGCAGGGGCCCCACCTAACCGGCTAGAAACCCCCATGCCCAGGACACTGATGTTTGCGTAAGCTCACACCAGTCGCTGGGGCGGGACAGGCACAGCTACAACCCCAACGTCCAGATAATCATCCTCTTTCCCGGGGCAACTGGGGATGTGAATTTCATAGACTGGCCCTGGGCCTGTGTTTTGGGCTCCCCTGAGTTTATCTAACTAAGCCTCTGGCACTAACCGCCCACCACCACCTCCCAGTAGCTCCGCCTGCTAACCACAGAGCCGCATCAGCTCTCTGCCGGTCCCGCCGGCCTGCTCATGTCTCACCTGCGCTGTCCTGCATCCCCAAGGGGAAGAGCTTGATGCCAACGTGCCAGCTGATGCCCTGGGGCGCCAGCCCCCAGAGCCACACACATGGGCCTCTGACGCTTGAGCTAAACCGCCCAGCTCCGTAGCTGGGGGCCGGGCGTGGAGAGGGCCCCGTGGGCAAGGGGCTTGGCGGGTCTATGGACCGAGGTGAATCCGGTCCGCTCGCATGTTCCTTTTTTTACCAACCGATGGCAGGAGAAGCCTGGTGGGTGCCTCCCACCCCGGGTGACCTCGGGCTCTTCTGCGCTGTCAGGGATGTGTCCCTGGGGGTGGTCCGGGGGTGGTGGGAGGGTTCTTCACAGGACGTGATCTTGAATGCAAGATTCATCTTTAATTCCTGGAGAGTCCAGGGCAATCCTGGAGGGTTGGCAGCCCTAGTCAGGAGGGGCTGACATGAAAACCAGGCTGGGGCAGGGGGAATGTGGCGAAGATTTGTCTTTTGCAACAGGGCTAGTTTTGGTGGGGGAGCAGGCTGGATTCAAATCTAGATTATGTTAAACCTGCATCTGGCTGAGAGAATGGGTGTTGTGGTTTCCAGTGTATTTGTGTGTGTGGTTTACGGTGTATTTGTGTGTGTGTGTGTGGTTTACTGTGTATTTTTGTGGGGTGTGCATGTGGTTTATGGTGTGTTTGTGTTTGTGTGGTTTACGGTGTATTTTTGTGGGGTGGTGTGTGTGTGGGTTACGGTATATTTTTGTGTGTGTGCGTGTGCGTGGTTTCAGGTGTATTTTTGTGTGTGTCTGGTTGTGTGGTTTACGGTGTATTTTTGTGGGGTGATGTATGTGTGTCTGCGTGTCTGTGCGCGCGCATGTGTGGGTTATGGTGTATTTTTGTGGGATGGTTACGGTGTATTTGTGTGGTGTTTACGGTGTATTTTTGTGGTGTGTGGGGGGGGTTTACGGTGTATTTTGGTTGGGTGGTTACAGTGAATTTGTGTGTGTGTTGTTTACGGTGTATTTTTGTGGGGTGGTGTGTGTGTGTGTGTGTGTGTGTGTGTGTGTGTGTGACGTGGTTTACGGTGTATTTTAAAATTTCCTTCCAGCTCTGAGTATAAACTCTCTCTCTCGATCTCGCTCAGTGACCCGTCCAAGGAGAAGTCCATTGTCCCCTCACAGGTGATGCTGGTAGAGGGTTTGCGCTGCGGCACGTTTCTCATTTCCGCTCTCCTGTCGCATTGACTCTTCGCTGAGCTTTACGCCCTGGCCAAAATCTGCCTCCAGATCCCTCCCTGAGGGTGTCTACGCGGCAAGCTGGGCGCTGTGATTGCGCAGCCCGGGTGGACAGAGGTTAGCTGGAACCGAGCTAGCGCGACTCTGTCTACCCTGTGCTGCGACTCACCTCCACCTGCAACGCAGCCATCCCCGCCTGCCCCTGGAGGGGCGAACAGCACTCAGAATCCGCCCCGGGGAAATCCGTGCGCTCTGAGACATCAGCTTTGTGGCGAGAGCGCTGCATGAAGCCAACCCTGCCAAGCCCGGCCCAGCAGTGGGGGAACTTGTCCTGGAGAGTCCTCAACCGCCATCAGCCCGGAGGGACGTAGCTGAGATACTCTGGAGGGGTTACGGTGTGTTTTTATAGGGCCTTCGCGACAAGGCCAAATCATCCGGAGAGGTAAAGGGGGGAGATGTTGAGGTTTGAGTTGGTAAAAAGTGAATGACCCAGCCTGGGCTCGGGGTGACAGTTATTCCTGAGGGGTGCAGAGCTGACAGGGTGCTAGGAATCGGCCCTAGGCTGGCAGAAGGGTGGCGTAGCCAGGCCAGCAAGAGGAGTAGTTTGAAGTGGTTCCCAGTAGGTGCTGAGGAGGGGCTAGTCGAGGCAGCGAATACAGTAGCCAAATTTGAGGCCTGATTATTTTCCACACCTCTCCCGGCCCTCGCACGAGTGTGAGACGCTCCCGGATCAGAACGGTGGCAGTTTTTCACTAGTGCAAGGGACGGCAGGAGGAGGGGGAGGGGCGCAACATAGAATCAAATCTTAAGATGCTTTAACACCCTTGCATGGTGCTTATGTCCTTCTGTTTGCAGGCGCTAATATCAAAGGCTAATTAAAAAGGCAGGTGGGAAGACCTCGTTAAGCAAAGAGAACAAACCCCCGAGGGCTTGGCTTCTTTGGGGACTCTCCCGGACTCTGTTCCCCCCTTTGAGGAGGCACCTGTCGGTGTTTCCCGCACCCCCATTCTCTGCACTAGACTAGGGTCTTGTGCCGAAATCACTGGCGATTTCAGCTGCTTCGAATAGGTCTTGAATTTGGTTCGTTGCCTCCCTCCGTGCTGCCTCTAAAGGGCCCAGCAACTGATCTTGGCTCTTCAGCTAGCAGGGTGTGTGTGGGTGCGTGTGTGCGTGCGTGCGTGTGTGTGTGTGTGTGTGTGTGTCCCAGCTGCTGGACCGGATCAGCCCAAATGGCTTAGCCCTGACGCCCGGTACAGAAGACGGAGGCAGACACCCTGGGTCTCAGGCACCCACCTAGTGGCAGAGTGTCTGTACTGTCTTGTTCCTTCCCCTCCTTGGCTTGGTTGTGGTTGCCTTTTTTCACACTAATAATTTTCGCAAGGCTCCCCTGCAATTACTGACCCATTGCCACACCGTTTTCACTAGATCTGACCTCTGTCTGGTCTTGTAGCCCAGGCCTCATACCCGTATCAGGTTCGCCCCTCGCTGCAGCATCTCGGCCTGCAGGGCCGGCTCCAGGCACCAGGCAACCAAGCTGGTGCTTGGGGCGGCACCTGGAGGGGGGCGGCGCGGCGCTCCGGCCGCCGGGGGGAGAGCCGAGCCCCCGCTGGGGCTCACCGCCCTGCCCCTGGCGCTCTGGCCGGGGCTCGCCGCCCTGCCCCCGGCGCTCTGGCCGCCGGGGGGGAAAGCGGAGCGGGGCTCGCCTCCCTCCCCCCGGGGCTCCGGCCGCCCCCCCCCCACCATGGGAGGAGGGGGGGGGACGGCCGGAGGCTTTTTTGCCTGGGGCGGCAAAAAAGCCAGAGCCGGCCCTGTCAGCCTGTATTCTCCTAGGAGCGATGGGTGATTGTCTGTTTCAGTGACAGGCAGTGAGTGTCGTCCCCCCACCCCTGCGATCCAGGCTATGTTTTGAGAAGCCTGGTGCCTTCTGTCCTAGATCGGCCTCCGTTTACCCAGAGGCTGGGCGAAGTCCTCAGCTGGCGTTAACTAGCATTGCTCCATTGACATCTGCTGACGAACACCAGCTGAGAATGGGGCACCTGTTGTAGTTTGGCGCCCCGGCGTTATCTACTGCTGTAACAATTCACCTTTGCCTCTTAAAGAACCCAGGCCCCGCTCTGGTTATCCTGAGTTCCTCGGGAGAACCTGGAACGCAGCACGAAGCCGGTGTAGTGGGGTAGATTTACAGCATTGTGTGCTGCAAGGGGCTGCCTGCGATTCTGCTATGCTCCTGGTATTCAGCCATGTGTAGAATGGATCCCAAGACGCGCACTTGCTTGTCAGATTAGCTTTTCCCCCCGTCTTTCTCTGTAGCTAGAATCCTGCCAACTGCAGCACACAAGGATCTGCACCGTGAGCTCTGCCGCTCCTCGGTTATTTCTCACAGAGGAGGCCTCGATTTAGCTGCCCTGCAGGTCGGCACCAGAGCAGCCTTCATGGTGTCGAATCAATCTGACCAGCTGGCTGTCATCCCCCCCCCCCCGCCTGAATTCAGGGACGTGGTTATCTGGGGGTTAGATCTGGAATACTGTGGGCGTGCGTCGGTCGGTCTGTCTGTCTGTCCGGCAGGAGGTTGTCGTTCCAGTGAGAATGAGATCTAGTGGTCGGAGCAGGAGATTTGGGCTGGGGTCAGGAGTCTCCTGTTCTAGTCCCTTGACGGTGCTGTTGCTGACTCGCTGCGGGCATGAGGCTGCATTGCTCTGTGCCTGTACCGAAGGAATGGCCCAAGCGCGGGGCCGTGCATGGATATGTGA